CTTCCTCCCATTACCAAACTGCTCACAGGTGAAAATCTAATTTATTTCATATACTACACAAGCTTTTTCTAAGGAGAAAAGCTCTGCTTATTTCTGGAAGCAAGGCAGTCTAAGACTGAGTGCCTGCATCTGCATTCCACATGTTTTCCCCACACATGGAACACTTAAAAAAAAAGAAAAAAGGTTTGCTTAAGGGATGCATTTCTTAGACTGGGATTTCAGACAAACGTAACTGGGTGAATACACCCACGAGGATGCTTGTCGAGCATAGGGAAAGTTGCACATTAATTGTCTGGGTCACTTTACTATAATTGCTAATGCTTGGAATGTTAGATTGACTGGTTACAGTAAACTGGCAAAATCTTTCCAGTATCATTCACTCTCACAATTTTTGTGTCAGTCAGAAGAAACCAATTCTGTTCAAGAATGTAGAACAGCTGGCATAAATAATTGGCTAAAGAAGGAAATGTATGCCTAACAATTTATTTGGTGCTGCCAGTCATAAGAGTGAATTTAATGCATTCAAAGGCAATTACATCACTTCAATCTTTCATCATATGTAGGTTTTTTGGGTTAATTTTATAGAAATCTATTAATATTTGGTTAGCACGGTTGCCTCACAGCAAATAGATCCTGGAGTTGAATGGAGTTTACATGTTCTCTTTGTGCCTGTGTGGGTACTCCATCTTCCTCCCACAGTCAAAAGACATGTATGTTGGGTGAACTTGTGATTTTAAATTTACTGTAGGTGTGAATGGTTAAGCAAGTCTGTTGGCTGTAAGCTGGCAACTTATTCACCCCACCTTTCCAGCAGCTGGCAGCTAATAGGCCCCTTTAAGTATAGTTTAGGAGTGAAATCGTGGATATAGCAGAAGACACTGAACATGCAGCCCAAAAAAAAAAAAAAGAGTACACACACACAGATCCATCTGGGAGACCATTTATTTTACTCTTCAAACACTGATTAGTGTTGGCTGGTAGTAACTTTAGTGTTATTGAAGGCAGCACAGCAGCATTATTGCGGAGAAAATCTCATGACTGTGCGGATACTGTGGGGAAAAAGGAGAAAAGATTTGAGCAAAAGTTTTGCACTAATCTGTGTTGCTGTTGACTCAATAATGGAGGAGAAAGCATAGTAGAGCAAATCTACCTTTTGCCGTTCTTCAACAGTTCAATGGCGTCGTTGACCTGGTCCAGAGTCATGTTGTGAGTAATGAACTCGTCCAGCATCACCTTCTTGTCCAGATATGCTTTAACCATCCTAGGAATGCCATCCTTACCCTTAAATCCTGATCCCCAAAAGACAAAACGACAAGCTGTAAAGAAGCTCAACATAAGCTTAATAAAGACACCGTAAGCTCCCTTATATTTATCTCACCTCCAAGCACGCACCCAGTCCATGTACGTCCAAGCATGAGATTAACAGGTTGGGTGGCTACGTCCTGCAAGTCTGTCCATCCAACAATCACACTAATGCCCCAGCCTGCCACACAAGATTCCAAAGCACTGCGCTACATGGAGAAACAGCGGAGCAGCAGAATTGTATGCAGAAGGATACAAGGATATGTTAATGAAGGACTTTTTAAATAACCACTGCTGGAAAAGAGCAAGGTGGTTTATTTGACTTTTACTAAACTAGACATTTGATACTACAGAGTAGATTAAATCTTCCTCACCATGCAGTCCACATTCCCAATACATTCCAGGGAGTAGTCAACACCTCCACCAGTCATCTCCTTCAGCACTTGGCTGATGGGTTTATTGTGATCCTTGGGATTGACCAAGTCAGTAGCACCAAACACTTTGGCCTTCTCAAACTTGTCTGGGTTGGTGTCAACAGCGATAATCCTTTTGGCTCCTGCAGCCTTGCAGCCCATAACTGCAGCCAAGCCCACAGCTCCCAGACCAAACACGGCACAGGTGGAGCCTGGCTCAACCTGCAGGAAAGGAGACTGATCAAAACTGGACATAAAAATTAAATTAAACACCCCCAGCACAAAATGTCCAATTCCAATGGCTATTCCATTAGCCCACCATACACACCTTAGCTGTATTAACAGCTGCCCCATATCCAGTGCAGACCCCACACCCAAGGAGGCAGACTTTATCCAGAGGAGCAGCCGGGTCGATCTTAGCCACAGCCATCTGGTTCATCACAGTGTACTCAGAGAAGGTGCTGGTCCCCATAAA